TAGCAACATCACTAGTAAACTCTAATCCCTCAAACTCATTCCTTTCTTTTGCAGCATTATTTGTTGATTGCATAGGATCAATCTCCTCAATCATTTGTTGAGAAACTGGAGAAGTCATACTTCAAACAAAAGGGTTGGTATAAAAAGAAAGTATAAGGGACAAAAACTGGAACATAAAACAAAAAGAAAAAAAAGAGAGAGAGAGAGAGAAAAAAAGAAAAGATACCTTTTGACAAAGTGGAAGTCATCCCAAGTGCACAATCTTCCTCATTGCCTCAATTGTAGCCCCAAGCACACAAAATGTTAAACCTCCTTACTAAATCGATTCAAAGACAATGGTGAAGAACTAGTCAAAAGAATCCCAAACAATTAACTCTTCCCTGCACCCCTTTAGCACCCATAATTAATCAAAATTCAAAGTAAATCGAAGTAAAATAATAGTGAAATCTGAGAGGGGAAGAAGGAAATAAAGTGGGAAAGTTTGAGATATGAGAAATGAGGGCTGTCGGTGCGGTGCGAAGAAGATGAAAGGGGGCTAGCCGAAAAAAAAAATGAAAACAATGGATATAAGGACTTAATATAAAACGACATCATTCTATTAAGTGTGACCTCCTAATTTTTAGGAGGCACGGCTGACCGGCAGTATCCCCTTTTATCAATATCATTTCCCATCTACTTGCAGGTACCAACCCTATCTCTACCAAATGTATCTATTTTAAATGCTCACCCCTAGTTTAATGGCCTCAAGACCAACTCAAACTGGGTTGGGCCTAATTGGATCCGGGTCTTGTATATAATGAACCTAGATTGGGATTTGCCTTGCATTCGCGGATCGCGGAGTCGAATTCCTGGAACAAACCCTAGCTCAGCTCCAGCTACGAGCTCGATAAACCTCAGGCCTGGATTATTGTTTTCTCAGCCTAGGGACGCATCGCCCTTTCCTCGGGTCGGCTCCGTTGCACCAGCTCCATAAGTTTCGGTAGTGTCATCGTTTTTCCTTCCATACATTTCCATCTGATAATTTGAGATGAGATGTTATTGTTGGTACAATTTTTCTGGTTTTGTACGTAATGTGGGATTTTGTTTAATTGCATAACAATAAATGCCGATTTTGTACTTGTGTTAGTCCCGATGCTTAGATTCTCGTGTTTAGGTTTTGATACACTACAAATTACTGTTAGTATAATGTGGTTTGGGCTATAGGAATTAGTGTGAAATTCCCTTTGATCAACAAATAATATAGTTTGATCAGAGAAATACGTCCTCTTGAATGGCTGCAAATCCTATTTAGCCTTTTCCCTGTTATTATGAGTATGAGACTGCATTTGGTATTAAATGTCTCCATTTTTTGGTGCTGGGGTTGTGGGATTCATGCTCGTAACTAACATGCACCTTACCAATCTGACTATGAGCCCAGCTGCATCTTCACTGGACTTATGAAAAAGATATGCATAATCTGAGTAATATATTTCTGGCCACCTTGTGTGGTTGTGCTTATTGTTAAAGATATGTTAGAGTATGACTTTGGCAAAATAAAATCCTTGTTGCCTTTTTCTATGTCCTGGAATCTGGAAACTCAAATTAGATTCTGTTTTGCATTGGATTCTGTTTTGGGGTTAACTTGTGTCTTGTATTACGCTTAGACAAGAGTGATTAACATTTACTCTCAGTTCTTGTTCTTGATCTGGGAACTGGAAGAACTGGAGGTGCTATATCTGAAAGAAATTGCTCAATGGATTGATTGTTTATTCTTTCTCTAAATATATGAATGAGAGTGACTAGCTGAAGTGTATTAGTTTATTCTTCCACTGTGAGCTTTACATAAATTCATGATTTAATCTAAGTAAAGAAGCAGTAGATATTCATATGGTTAGGATTATTATATCAATACTGCTAAACAGAGAGATGAGGTAAATAGAATAATGTGTCAATATTACCTGATTCATGACACATGCTTTCTTTATGATAGATGACAAGCGCTTGGACAAATATGGGCTTTGCAATCATACATAGGGATATAGAGAGGGAATGGGAGTATCAGGGTGGAGTTTTGGGTATTGTTTTTTATAATTGGAGATTGTTTCTCCCTGTTCGAAGATCTGTACGTCTGCAAAAATTCATGGGAGGATGAGGAGTCCAAATTAAATTTCAAATTTATTATAGCTTTGGAGCATCTTGGAGCAAATGAGCAATGGAGCTTGTGGAGCACCGCTCACATGGAGGATTGCTCACTTGGTTTGCTTCATGATTTTGGCTTTATAATGCTTTTGTTATTGTTAGAGCCGTGGCAGATGATAACTGGACATTTGAGTAGATAGGGCTATGCTATTTTTAAATAACAGAGTTTGTTTTTCTATTAATGCCGTTCTATTTTCACATGCAGTGATTAATAGTCGTAATACTCAAGATGAGTGGTCGCTTTTCACGGACTATCTATGTTGGCAACCTGCCCTCAGATATAAGAGAGTGGGAAGTTGAAGACCTGTTCTATAAGGTATAAGAGTGTTATCTATCTCAGTTATATTTAATCATTAGATGAAATGTTAGATTTTTCCTGGGTGGTGTTTTTAGCTGCTAGTTAATTAGGGCTATTTTGTTTGGCACTTTTTTTTTTCTAAGTTTTTATTATCTTCCTTAGTGATTTCCTCATAAATATTTTAAAGAAGCTGATTTATGTATTTTAGATTCATAATATGAATTCAAAATCTGATGTCATGTTCTCATTTTCATTCAAATTTGAATGGTTCACTGTTAATTATATATGCCAACATTTTATATATATGATGCTGCTTTTTAAAATGATAAAATATGTTTTTTTGGGGATGGTATGGTCATCAAGGATTAAAGGTGTCCATTTTTATTTACTGGCTTCTTTTAGAAATTTTTTGGCTGACATGTTCTTCTTTCATAGTATGGTCGCATTTTGGATATTGAGTTGAAGATTCCGCCACGCCCTCCATGTTATTGTTTTGTTGAGGTATATTTCTCATCTGTCATCTCATTGACATTTGGTACATTAAATTAAAAATGCATGTCTTGCCGAATTTGGTTTATTTTTGATAGTTTGAGAGTGCTCGGGATGCTGAAGATGCAATCAGAGGCCGTGATGGCTACAACTTTGATGGATGTCGATTGAGGGTAATAGGGCTCTCACATTATACCATCTGTGGTTTTCTCTATACTTTTATTGTCTGGCTACTTCATTTGGACTTATATTAGGTTGAGCTTGCTCATGGTGGTAGAGGGCAATCCTCAAGTGATCGTCGTGGTGGCTATGGTGGAGGTGCAGCTCGATTTGGCATCTCACGTCGCTCTGAATATCGAGGTTTGTTTAGTTGTTGAACCATGGCAGAGATCAAGCTACCTCTCTATGTCTATCTGTTTTGTTTGGAAATAGTTATAAATTATAATGTATACTTTTGCTGGCATGTAGTAATTGTTCGTGGGCTCCCTCACTCTGCATCCTGGCAAGATTTGAAGGTCTGTAAACTTTGAAATCTATAAATGAAATTTATTGGTTGCCAATAATGCTTATTAAGTGTTGGTAAACTCTTTTTAGGATCACATGCGGAAAGCAGGCGATGTCTGTTTTGCTGAGATTTCTCGTGATAGTGAGGGTAATATCCTCTTGATGCATCAATTAGAACATCACATACTGGATTTACATTGTTCATTTTCATCAGATGTCCAAATCGTTTTCCTCCTTTAGATCATATGTTATATGGTACTCAATGGCCTGTTTGGTTTTTTATGTGTCCTTGGACATGCCATTATGAGGATATAAAATGTTGAGGGCTTGAAGCTATTTTTAATGTTATCAAATGTAATTCTATACCTACAGACCATGGGTATGGAGGCACAGGAATTGATTTTGAGTTTCTTTAACTTAAAGGTCATGGTAAAGAGTGAGTAGTCACCAAAAATCATTCATCCATATAACCATTTGTGTAGCAAAGAGTGAGTAGTCACAGAGAACAATTCTGACCTCAATTTTCTACTTGTTTGTTCTCACTGGTAATGATGTTCTGCTTTTTCTGAAGTTGGCAAGGTGCATGGTGTAATTGGATGTTATCATGTTGGATGGACTTGTTCTTGATGTTTTGGATATTTTGGTTTGAAGTGAAATTGCCTGGAGTTTGTCATGAATTAGTTGTTTTAACTCTATTACCAACCTCTTGCATGTACAATAAATGATAGTTTCCTGTTCTGGTTGCATTATTCCCTCTTCTGGCTGAATTGACATTATTGTTATATTGTCTGGGCATGCTTTAAACTCTGTCTGACTTGAATAATAAGTATGTGTATCTTTGTTAAACTTATTTGCTATCTCTGCATTCAGGGACTTTTGGTGTCGTTGATTATACAAATTATGAAGACATGAAATATGCTGTAAGGGGTTCATGGAACACACTTCCCTTATAACAATTCTCTGAATTTGTGCTTCTATAGTCTTTAATCATTTCTCGTTCCAGTAACTGGTTGTGATGCTATTCAGATTCGGAAACTTGATGAGACAGAGTTTAGAAATCCTTGGACAAAAGCTTATATTCGGGTGATTTTTCTATTCTTTTTTTTATTGTTGCTTGTTTTACCTTCTTTTTTTGGCCAGAAAAAAGAAGGTTGATAGTGTTACAACAAACCTGGATCTAAGATTTTTAAATGTTTCTGAGTTGCAAAACTATATTTCTAATTTTATAGGTTAGGTAAAAGATGATATTTTTGACATTATAAAAGACATGAGTGCATTCTTACCATGTAATTCCCATTTTACATGTAGAATTCCTGGCATAATACTAACAATATTTCAGATGTTTGGTCGAACTCCTTAATTAATGGAATTAGGTTCATCATGAAAGACACAAGTCCATTCTTACCCTGTAATTCCCCTTTTACATATAATAATTCCTGGCATAATACAATATTTCAGATGTTTGGTCTCAGCTCCATGATTTATAGCCAAGCCAACCATACCATATGGTTGAAATGAATCTTGACTTTTATATGCTTTTTTTTTATTTGTTTTTGTTCTCAAATTTGCAGGTGAGGCGATATGAGGCCAGTCCATCTAGGAGTCAAAGCAGAAGCCGCAGCAGAAGCAGAAGCAGAAGTGTAAGAAGGGATAGGAGGTGTGTGTGCCTTTTCTATCTATTTTTGTATTTTTTATTTTTTTTTGTTTTGTTTCATTATTCATTGCTGAGCATTGGTCTTATTTTTTTGCATGCTTCTTTCTTCCCTTGTTTCAGTAAATCTGCAGAAAGACCTGTTTCCAAATCACCAGCTAAATCCAAATCTGCATCTCCGGTTAAATCATCCAGGTCTTGGGACTGTGTTTCTTGCTACTTGTTTGTTTCAAAATTTTCTGCTTTTTTTTGCAGTAAAAAAAAGAAAAAAAAGAAAAAAAAAGAAACCAACCTTTGTTTTTCTGGTGCAGGGCAAGATCCAGATCAAGGTCAGGGTCTCCCAATAAGGTAAGGTCAATTTGATATACAGTAGGGTATATAAGTGACTGAATATTTTGAGAAATTTTACAGGGAAGCTAGTTTATAATAGCATAACAACAGCAGCTCATTTGTATTTTGCTGCCTGTATTATCTAAAAATAGCCTCTCATGTAATCTTCTCTCTACATGACCGTCACACATGATATGCCTTATCTTGCTGCATCAATCAAGTTAATATTATCTAAGTGAATATATATAGCATCAGTATCATCTAGGGGACAAATCAATACACATGTATTGCTCTTTAAGTTTGCAAGGATGGGGATTTGTTCATAAAATAAATAAATAATCTCTTAATTTATGTGATTCTGGTCATCATTTTTTTTTTCAGCATCTGGACATCATGTACTGATTTATGTTTGATCACTTTCAGGCTCAGTCTGGTAGTCGCTGATTCTCTTACAGCCAAGTCAGAAGTGCATCACTGAACTTCTTCGATTGAGTTTTTGGGAAAGTAGTGAAGCTTATCTTGCAGGAGTACTGCTATTTTGGGTATTGCAGGACTACTATTTGATATTGTTTTCTAGAAGTCCTAGGTATTAGTGTTAGGTGTTTGTAATTTGTTGCATCAATTTTAGACGCTGGTTTCCTCACTTTTTGGATACAACCCTGTTCATCCATGTTTGTGAGACCTCAATGAAAACTGTTTTCTCGTCTTCTTGTTTACATTTTGATATCTACAATTTTTAATTTTTATTTTTGGCCTACGACATCTACCTGTTCCCATCAGTTTATTCCCACTTTATGAATTGAGGGCCAAGCTATATTGAAGAAAAAACATGGCATTGAAGCCTGTTTTGCTACATTGGTTTCTCTTTTCTTTTCTTTTCTTTTCTTTTCTTTTCTTTTTGTTGTAGTTGGGAAATATTCGTGTCAGCTTATTAGCACACTAAATTGAATCTAATCATTTTAAAAAGTTAATGCTCAAAAAATCATTTTCCACTCGAAAAAAAGTAGAAGGTGATGTTGAGAAGCAACCTGATGTCCAAATTCCCGGTTGAACGTCCATCAATATTCGTTACTCTGTATTTGACTAATTTTCTTTTTGTAAATGTTTATTAAGATGAAAAGGAGAAAAGACTACGAAATTCTTTCGGTAACTTTGGTTGGGGGGATTCTTATTCCTACATCAAACTATATAACGAAGCTAATATAAAAATGGAAAAAATGATTAGCTGTCTATCCTTTTTTTTCTTAACAAGGCAATTATAAATTACAACTACATATAAGAGGGTGGACGAGGACTGCTAATGGTTGGGTTCAAAACCAAGACTGAGGTGCTATATCATTGAACCCTTACCACTAGAGCAATATTCTTATATAATTAAGTTAAATTATTGAGATATAGAAACTAATTCTCTTTCATTTCCTAACTTTTTCACGAAATTGCTACGCAACTTAAGATAAAAGAGATTATTGTTGGGGCATTACATATATTTGAAAAAAAAAAAAAAAAAAGCTTACCAAAAGAGATTTTTTATTTAATGTTTTCTTTCCGGATAATATTAAAAAAAAGATAAAAATATAACAAAAAAAAAACACTATAACAAAAGAGTTTTATTTTTTTATTTTAAATTATATTAAGGAAAAAATGAATATTAATCCTAACTCCTAAAAAAATTAAAGTTCTAATTTTAAATTACATCATAAACTCAATTAAAAAATTTATGTTGTTAAATATTGATATTTAAATTTAGAAATTAATTAAAATTTTAAATTTTAAATTAGAATTTTAAATTTTAAATATAAATTAAAATTTTAATTAAAAAAAAAACAGAATTAATATGCCATAATCTCTTATATTAAAGTGTAAAATAAAAATAGTTAGATGAAAGAGGGTGAGATGTCAGGTAGCCTGCATGTGGGTTTTGAATTATGTTGGGAATCCAGAACAAGAAGGAATGGAAAAATGGATGCTTCCTTCGGCCCAAAAACTGGGCCCGCTTAACTAAAACCCTTTTAACAGAAAGTAAATATAATAAAAAAGAAAAATAAAGAAAAACCGAAACCCTAATCCATAAGCCGTATATATATCACTGTAAACTCGTGATTCCTCCCCGAGGCTTTAGACGCAGCAAGAAAGAAAAACTCTAGCGCTTAGGTTAATCTTGTATCTCTCTGCCAACAATGGCCAGTGAGGTCGCCTGCACTTACGCCACCCTCATCCTCCACGACGATGGAATCGCCGTCACTGTAAGTCTACACTTTCCTTCTCTTCCTTACCCATCTCCTCGTTAAATCGTTTGATTCTTTGTTTTCTGATGGAAATGAACCATTGTTGTAGGCGGAGAAGATCGCCACGTTGGTGAAGGCTGCTAACGTGAGCATTGAATCGTACTGGCCGAGCCTCTTTGCCAAGTTGGCTGAGAAGAGGAACATCGAGGATCTCATCATGAACGTCGGCTCCGGTAGCGGTGCTGCTCCTGCTGCTATTGCTGCCCCTGGTGGTGGTGCTGGTGGCGCCGCCGCCGCCGCTGCTGCCGCACCTGCAGCTGAAGAGAAAAAGGTGTTGCTTGTATTCTTTTGTTTTTGAGTACATTTTTGCGCGAACATATTGCTAATCGTGTGATGATAATACCTGCGGATTTAGATTTTGACCTAATGATAGCAGACGTATCCTCTGTGTAGATTAATCAGTAATTTTTAGTTTGTAATGTAAAAATGAAAGATAAAATCATCTTGAGTTCTTTTGTTTCATTCATTTGATTCATTTTATTTGCGTTGTAATCTGTGCAGGAGGAACCAAAGGAAGAGAGTGACGATGACATGGGCTTCAGCCTGTTCGATTAATGACCACATCAAGTTTGAATTATCTTCTTTGGTTTTATTTTTGTTGAAAGACCCATCCGAGGTGTTAACTCGGCTGAATTTTGTTTCTTGTTTTGATGTTTTCTAGTTCAAGTGATTCGTGACTTTTATATCTTATGGAAGAATTTATAACTCCCAATTTGGTTATGTTATGTTGGTTAGTGTCTCATTATCATTTTGCAATTTACAAAGAAGTTTATTGACTCACAACTCCACTATACCTTATTTCTAACCCTAGAGTTGCCTAGGCTAGAGCATTTCCTTGTCTGACTGGGGAGTTTTGGTTACTTATCTTCTAGATGAAAATGTGGAGAAAGGACAATATTTTCGAGTGCTAGGTGGGAGCTTAACTCCCAAGTCTCAACCTAGAGCTGCCAAACTTTGAAGCCTGGGGCTGGTTGTATTAAACTTGACAATTGCTAGTCCAGCAATATAGGAGATGATTTGTTTTGTGTTTCTTCATGAAGTTAAAAGGAGTTTTATTCTATTCAATGTTTGATCCATAAGCTGGTTATGCCTTTTGTTTTGATGAGTACTTTTTAGAACCTGAGGACTTTAATAAGTCTACAATGCTATTCTTTCAGAATCATATTGAGTAATTATTTTCAGTTTCTGTTTCTGCATCAATGGTTATTGTTGATTTCTGGTAGTTGTTATATCTTGGAGTTTATTATGGATTACCATACACAACATGGTGAGTTTGTTTCTGGTGGATTGGGTTTAATCTTTGACCACGATGAAAAGAAGAAATCATATTTCCTCTCCTTTTGGGCTTTTAAACATTAATTGAACAAAAAGAAACTAGAGTTCTCAAATAAATTATCAATCGTGGATTTATGCATATACAAGTAGATCTTAACTTAAGAAATTAAATGAAAGATCCCTTATCGTTCTCTTGGGATTCAAATCCTGGATTTTTTTTGTTTTTAAAATTTTTTCTTCTTGTTCCTCCATTTTAAGGTATTTTTGTGCAATTAATCAAATTGAGAAAAATGTATTCATCAACAATTGAATTTGATTGTTTTATTTATTTACCTTTTGGCCAACAGAAACAAACATGTCTTATTGAGGAAAAGACAATACATCCCGCATAGGTATCTAGTACAACCAAAATAAAAAGTGAGAACTGAAGGCTACTGGTGGCCTTGGAGTCCAACCCAGATAGGGGTCCTCCTAACCTTCCCGGAGTTGCAGATCTTCCTCTCCATCACACTTAGCATTTTCAGCTGCACTCATATCAAACACAAAGCTAGATGGTAGAAAACTCACAACCAAAACTGCAGTCTTAGAGCTTGTGAGAGCTTTTGCTTTTGCTTTTTGAGTACTGTTATGAGTGATAAATTTAAATTTTTATTGGAGAAAAAATAAAACTTTAGCTTTTGGAGATATGAAAAAAAGAGTGAAAAATGAGTAAAAAGGGGAGTTTATAAAAAGTTTGGATTTGAAACTTTTAAACTTTTACTGTTTAAAAGCTTTTTGAAATTAAAAAAATATTTAAAAATGTAAGTTTTTAAGAGGAAAATTTAAATTTATAAAACATAAATAGTATCCAAAAGTTGAATCTCTTATAAATTGATTCAAACAGGCCCTTAGGATGCAAAGACCGGTCTACTTCCTGTATGGTATAAGCACCAACATAATAGGCTCCATTGATCCATCCAGGTACAAAGTTGAGGAAGATTGACCGACTACGGAAGAAAAACACTCCAAACCCTGTCCTAAGGGAGACTAATCTAGAGCAATATACTAGAAATAGCTGGCCTTACTTCTTCCCGAGTGATCCCGGCAACCAAGGTACTAGTAGGAGTGGGCATTGGTTTGGTGGCTGAACTAACTAATAATAGCGGTTAACTGCCTTCTTGGTTGAAGAAAAGTGCCAACCATTTATCGAATCAAATTTGTTTTGGTTGTGTCGGTCTGGCGACCAAACCATCTTGGTTTTTTAATTTTGGTTTCAATTTTGACTGAAAATAGATTCTTATGAGAAGAATAGAGAAGAATAATGGGAGATGAAGATTGTGATGATAGCATGTTGTTCTCTTACAACCAAGAAACAACCAAGAATTAGTCCACAAGATGAGATCTGGAGTTTTTGTACTTGGATACGTACAAGGAAGAATTTTTTTTGAGTTTTTTTGATTTCTTTTTTGGGTGGTGCTATTCAATATTGATATGAGATTTATAAAATTATTTAATTTATTTTTCTCTAAAATCAAATTAACATGCATCTGGCCTTCGGGCCAATTGGTATCTTATCAGTTTGGGGTGCATTTCTCCTCTTTCATAGGCGGGTTTCGAATCCGCCCCTTAACAAATTGTTAAAAAAAACAATCAAATCAACATAAATTATAAAAATAAATCAAATATTTAATGATGTGTAGGATCAATAAAATATCAATTTAAAAAGTCAAATATGCTGTGATGGAAAAGACAAAAGAGGGGAAAAAATGTTAAACACAATAACCAAAACACATAAATAATCTAAGCTGAAACCCTTTTCTCTCTTTACTATAAAACCTCTTGCTTTTGGCTAGAACCTTATCAAAGTTCTTTTTTTTTTTTTTTTTTTTTTTTTTTTTTTTTTTGGCTCGGAAGCCTTCGGCTTCTCGAGTTTTCTGGTGCTCAGAAGCCCACCGGCTTCTCGAGCATGGTGGAGCTAGCCAATCGTGCTCTCTTGTTTGTTGACAACCTTGAGTGGTCTATTGGTTTCTTTCGTGGCCCCTTCTAGTGGTCTTCATTTTCTTTCCTTTTCTTGTTCCTTGTTTCTTGCTTTGTTTTGTTCAGATCTGGTAGCCAATAGGACAACAAAGAAGAAATTTGGAGTTGGTCGCTGCTTGCTCTGATCTCTTAGCCACAATATCTTTGTTAAGATGTGAACATAATTATATTTAGAATTATTGTAAATATTTTATACTTTAGAATATTCTTTTTATATACTTTATACCTTAGAATATTCTCTTTGTAAACACCTATATATAGGTCATTGTACATACAGTATAATTCAAGAAAGTAATTAACCTTTCGTTAGATATTTCTCCTTCTTTTCAGTTTCTAACATGGTATCAGAGCTATAAGCTCTTGGTTCTTTTCTCTTATCATCGTTGTTGGGTTTTTTGGAGTTGGATTTTTAATTCCATTCCAGATCTGAAACCTTGTCATTGGGATCTCTTCTCATACAGATTGGATTGTTTATCCTTGATTCTCAGACCCTTTCTAAGGTATTTTGTTGGTTTGTTATTTCGATCTTGACATCTATTTCTCCATATTTTTAGAGTTTTTCAGTATTGTGAGTTTACTGATTCTATGACGAGTTTTGAAAGGATTGTAACTCATCCTGCTACTACTACGGTTGCCAAAGAAGTGATAGAACAACCTAATGTCAACCTTGAATCCCTAAAACAGGTGATATTAAATCTTTTTAATGCTCCTACTGCCTTATCTACTGCTCCGGGTACCAAACCTTGGTATTTTGATTCTGGTTGTTGTAACCATATGTCTTCAATTACTGCTCATTTCTCTTCAATGTCACCTAATAATTCCTTTCTTGATATTTATTCTGCTGATGGTTCCCCTATGAATGTTAGTCACATTGGTAATATTTCTACAAAGTCATTGACTTTACCAAATGCCCTTTTAGTTCCAAAACTTAGTTATAATCTTCTATCTGTCGGTCAATTATGCGATCTTGGTCTTGAAGTAACATTTTCTGCTCATGGTTGTTGTAATACCCCAAAAATTGGTGATATTTTAGCATTTAATAAGGGACCTATTTGAAGGAAAGTATTGTTTTGGGGGTTAATCGTAAAATTTTAAAAAGTTGAGGGGCTAAAAAGAAAGGAAATTTGGATAAGGATCAAGGCTGATATTTTTGTCCTCAGCCACGTGTTTTTCTTTTCTTCATCTTCATTTTTCTTCTCCCTGATGCTCTGCCTCCTCGACCAGCCCCCCCCAAGCCACCGACTCTCTCCCCCTTGAAAAACCCGGTGAGATCTTGATGAAATTTCTCTTCTTTTCTTGTTAAATCACAAGATTTGGGGCTTAGAATCTTCCCTCTCAACCCAGAAATCCTGGATATGCTCTGCTTCTTCCTCCTTTGTCCGTCGGGTTCTGCTGGGTTTGAATCCTTCGGCTTTTTCTGGTAAGAAGCAGCCTTGAATTCATCCTTTCTCTCTTCATTTGGCTTGGGTTACTCTAATTTTGTTATTGGTTCTTGAATTTCTGGAGTTTGCCGTGAGTTTTCCCCCATGGATCCTGTTGGCTTCCTCACCAGCCAAGCTCGGGTTCTGCTAGCTGGAATTCTGGTAAGTTGCCGGCTTTTCCAAGCTTAAAATTACCCATTTAATTGCTGGGTTTTGTCCATTAGTTGATGCTCTGTGTTGTCCGAATCTGCTGGGATAGGGGATGAATTTGGTAGCCCTTTTAAATGTGTTTTAAGGTTGATTATGTAGAATTAGCTTGAATTAGCCGCTGTGATGTTTTGTGTGAGAAATCCCGTGTGTGTGAGTTGTGATTTGCCAAGTCATGCCCTCCATGTGCTGCCCGTGAGATTGGGGAAATTTTGGTAGCTTTAAGCTATGTTTTAAGTATGGTTTAAGGAGAAAATTAGCTTATTTGAGAAACCCCGTGAATTAGCTATGTTTTGCCAATTTTGGGAGTTGAAGTTACTGTTCATGAGGTACTGTTCACGGACACTATTCACACACCGAGGGTCAACGATTAACGGGGATTTAAATGATTAGTTTGTGATATAAGGATAAGTTTGGAGATGTCCGGTTATGTGGAGATTGATAGAAATAGCACTGTGATTAGGGGTAGTGCTAAAGATGATTTCACTGTGAAATTGTGGTAATACG